GCAATTTTTACATCCATCAAAACTAGTTCCAAATCCAACTGTGCTACCAAAGCCAACATAATTCTAATGGAGGAATGTTTTACAACTGGAGAAAATACTTCATTGTAATAAATTTCCTCCTTTTGATCATATCCTTTGGCCACCAATCTTGCTTTGTAGCGAACAACTTCTTGGTTAGGAAATCCTTCTTTCTTTGCAAATACCCATTTGCACCCAATTGCTTTCTTTCCCTTCGGGAGATTGGCCAACCTCCATGTATGATTCTGATGAAGGGATTGTATTTCATCATTCTTGGAAATCCTTCACTTATCTTCTTTTGAACTTTGGACTGCGTCTTTATAAGTGGTAGGAACATCATCAGCTACAATTGAGGCGGCGCAATCAACTGTCTCTATAAGACGAACAAGTTTTGTTATTGTCCTTTTTGGCCTGCTAGTTGCAATTGATTCAAGTTGTTGTTGAGGTTCCTGAGTTGGAATCTCCCTCTCTACTGGATCTTCTTCCAGAGGATAATCTTCATTTGTTTCCTCCTCTGCTTCTTGTGTAGGAAAAATAAATTTTCCCTCAAACTCCACCTGCTTAGAAACACCCTCATTTTTTTTGGTATCTTCTGTTACCTTATTTACCATAGTAGATTCATCAAAGGTAACATCTCTACTGAATATTACTTTCTTTGTCATAGGACACCATAAGCGATATCCTTTGAATCCAGAAGTAATCACCATAAAAATAGCTTTCTTTGCCCTTGGATCTAATTTTGACTCTGTCACATGATAATATGCAGTTGAGCCAAACACGTGCAAAAAGTCAAAATCTACAGCAGGCTTTTCATACCATTTTTCAAATGGTGTCTTTCCATCAATAACAGCAGATGGTAAGCGATTAATGAGGTGGCATGCATATGTAACTGCCTCAGCCCAAAATTCTTTGCCCAAGCCAGCATTGGACAACATACACCGTACCTTCTCCAGCAAGGTCCGGTTCATACGTTCTGTCACTCCATTCTGTTGTGGTGTATGTCTGACAGTGAAGTGTCGGACGATGCCATCATTTTCACAGACCTTATTGAAAT